TTATTTCATCAGAATAAAATTGAGCATTCTCAGGCCTACAACAGCAACTCATACACATTTGAGACCACAATTCTTTGTTAACTAGATTAATACTCAACCCTTAATGATTGATTAACCATCAAAAGAAACAAATATTCAGAGCAAAAAAGAAGAACTATAACATAAAGCAGTTTATTCAAAAAGCTTTTAGATCTCTACTGCTGAAATTCAAGCGGGAATGAAGTAGGAACACAAGAGGATAAGACTTGACCAACAAAGTAATTGTATTTTCTTCCATCCCATATACAAGGGAAAACAAAGCTGAATACTTCGGACATGAGTATAATGGTTACACTGCTGCCATTATCTCAGAGGAGAGAAAAACCTGGAAGTCCTCGCAGGATAATGACAATATGATCTGGGCGGTTAGAACGATGTGGATGCTTTAAAATGTGAGAAGCATCAATAATTTTGGGCTTATCCAGTAAGGGATCCCTATAAGGCTTTTCACTGGACGAGGGCATCGAAATGGTATGATTTTCCTGCAAGCCAGACAATCAAAACCCATAAATAGCACTTCAAAGTGTTCATACTTCATATAAAAGACAAGCATGTCTGTAGCATAAATAGTATTGTCCAAGATAAAAGACAAGCACATTTATAGCATAAATAGTACTTCCTATAATTTTGGAATCCTAAACCTGAGAACTATTTCCGCTTGGATTCGGATACTGATTAGAAACCGATGTTACGACTTCACACACCTTTGTAAACGGAGACTGAAAGAGGGACGAAGATGAAACAACGTTCTCTGCGAATCGAAACCTTGGCAGCTCTGCAGGAAGTGGTGGTGGTGGTGGCGGCGGTGGCTGGGTAATCAGTAGTGGAGGCTGCACCTGATTAGCTAGGGCATATAGGCCGACTCTAGGCTCCATTGCATGTTGCTTGTTTGAATGTGTCTCTGGAAACTGGCTAAACTGGTTTTTTGACTCCCAACTTTTGGTAGCAACGTTTTGTCTCTGTTCTTGATAGGCTGCATTATAATCCAACTGAACTTCTTTGGCCGGTCTGAAACTCGTGTATCCATACCCATGATTCTGCACCATGTGGCCATCACTTTGACTGTAAGGTGATATCCCTAAACCCAAATTTCTGCCTTTTTCGACATCTAGATATGCACATTGTCTTTCTCCATACAGAGGATCTCCAGGACTTCTGTTATCACCAAAATTGCTCTGCCCAAAAGAATGACTAGGTAAACTAGAACCTCCACTGTGGTTCATATCCAAACCCTGGCCCACAGCTCCATGATCGCGTATCAACTTCAATCGCCTCTCGTCCTCAGCCAAAGGCCTCCCCGCATAATTCTCATACACATTGTCAGACCTCATTCTTTTGGCGCCCACCGGAACATTGCTGTTGTAATCCAATCCAGGATTTGAATCTGCGTAACTGTAGTTAGGGTTAGGGTTCCATGGCCGAGGAGGAATCTGGGCGGGGGGAGGTGGATAGTGATTAGATGCGGGACCGCCTTGGTGGTCAACGAACGGATCGTACGGTGTTGCCGACGGATTTTGGGTTGGCGGCGGCGGCTGCGGTGGCAGGGGACTGTGGAAGAGTTGATCGGGAGGTGGCGGCGGAGGTCTGTAGTACTGTGGAGGAGGGGGTGGGCAGAATGGGTAATGGGGATTCGAGCAGATTGGGCACAAATTGCCACTTTGTGGCATGGGACGCCATGGATACTCCATCTTTAAGCTGAGATAGGAATTTGAGACTTGCGCAGTTTTAGGGCACCAAACGAGGAAGAAAGCACAGGACAGAACATAAATATAAATCGACTCTCACACTTCTAGTTTATATTCTATTTAGAAAGATTATAAACTTACTCTAAATTCTGTTTGGTAATAATTTTTTATCTTTTTTTTTTCAATTTATGCGTGATTGAAAAATAGATAAAAATTCACGTTTGAAATAATTTATTGTGTTAATTTACTATTATTAGTTAACGTACTCTGGTGTCTTGAGTGGGTCATCTTCTCGTCTGCCAAAAGTGTAAGTGCATCGCGTAGGGGAGGAGTGCGCTAATGTTTTGAAGGTTTTGGGTCATCTTCGTGAGGAGGCCGAGTTGCAGGGTTAACAAACACATTTTTTGTTGAATAGAAGTTCAATTTGTGTGTTCTTTATTTTTGGCAGAAATGAAGTGTGCAATATGGAGCATTTCAATGTCTGCAACTTGGATTAGACCCAGCGTCAAAACCCTTTATGAGGGGTATACTCCTATATGACGGTTGACCTTGACCATCTGTGTAGTACGTGGATGGTGCGCCAAGGCCTTGAGTGGAGCTTAGACACATCCCGTTTTGTCAAACAGTGGTATTTGGATATTCTATTTGTTTGTGTTCAGGTGGATTTGATGGCTTTATAACAATTGTGTGTAAGGCCAGGTTGAGCCTTGTTCGCATATGACCTCAATTGGTTGGTTAATATTGGTTCGAGTGGCGAGATGATGTGGACCTAGACGGAATAAGGCGACACTTAGTCGAGGGTGAACTTCGGTTGAGGTGTGAATGATTAGTATGAGCGAGGAATGAGCATCGCATCCAAGTAGTTGTAGATTTCAAAAAATCATGCATGGATGACACGTGATTGTGCAAATATAGAGTCAAACGTGGCCTCGAGGTGGTTCTTGTCACTTCGAGATGGCCAGGACATTGCCTTGAGGAATGAGGACGGTTGGTTGAGTTGGCCTCGTGGGCAGGAGTGATGCAACGAAGCAGTTTGTGGGCCAAATGGTTGTTTGATCTAGCATTTAGGTCTATTGACCGCATGACCATAGGCATTGTTGCATCGATCATTTGTCGATGTGAGCCACATACCAAATTAATATGGTCTAGTGGGTGCATGAGTTGGCGAACACAAGTATGATGGGGTGAGCACTATAATATCGACACTGATGTATTTGACAAGTGCTAGAGTTTGTTAGTGTAAATAAAACTGAGAATACTAGACTGTCGAGTGAGTATGCAAGCACAAGAAAGCTTGAATGAGTAGAACTGAGTAATTGTAATGCAATGGTTTTGTTTTCTCTAATTTTATGTATATTTATTTGCGTGATGCTTCCGCATGCAGAGTGGTTTGTTTGTAAATATACATCGAATTATACTCAGTGGGATTATTTTGTTTCGAAACGAGAGATTCATTAACTAAAAACACATAACATACGACTGGTTAACTAGCCGGAGTGAGAGAACTACTCAAGACAGTCTACACCACAACACACACTACAAGACGAAATAGGAAAATAAAAAAATAAAAGTTCCCACAAGAAAATACACAAAATCCCCAAAGGAAAATAAAACCCTCCTGTAAAAGAGGAGAAAACAAAACACATAACATACTTAGTGAGATTGAGTGAAGGCCGAAGAGTTTGTGAACAATAGTGAGGCACCATACCGTAGAAATTCAAAGCCGCACAGGATGATAACTATGCTACAAATTTAACCTAGTGAGTTACCTAATGACACTACGCATAGTTAATAATTTATATGATACTCTAATTAACTATAACCTACACTTGATCGAAATTATATAGTTTTAATGAGCAAAAATGGGTTCTTACATACTAGCTTTATGTTTTTTCTAACCATATTGTGCAAATCATATTGTACAAACGTATCATTCATTTGAAGGTGTCTTCTAATTTTATTGTACAAAATACAAAATATTTTAAATTTGTACTAATACAACCAACCCATAGTACTCCAAATGGGTTTTTACAACTTTTAGCACCAAAAAATGAAAAAAAAAAATTAAAATAAAAAAATTCACTAAGTCAGCACCAGATCAAACAACCATTTTCTTAGAGACACATACACAAAATCTTCGAAAGCCCGACAAACTATTCATAGAAAAAGCTCGAACGTCTTGTATTGTAAGAAGAACGGAATCACTATCAAGAAGAATGTCTGCATATAGACTTTTTCGCCCGCTTACTCGAAATTTAGCTGTCAGATTATAGAATCGAATTTCGTAATAATTTCTCCACGATAAAACTCAGAACAGATGGAAAATCCTTCTCCAAAACATGTACTGAAATACATGAATGACATTAGAGGTTTTTGTGAAGTGCATTTTTCATACATCATGTGATAAGTGCATATAGTTCATCATATTTGAAGCAGAAAAAAGAAAACAAGAAAACAAGTTTAGTCCTCCAAAGAGGAATAAGCGGCAAGGTAAAATTTGCTGAGTGCATAACTTGTTCAAAGTATAGTCACTTGGTTTAGAAATTCGTGAAAATGCAAAATTTCCCAGAGATTCGTGGTGATAGGCTGCAAACACAAGACAAATTGTCACCCTTTTTACTAAATGTTTTTCATATAATAAAGATGCAGATAAAATGAAGACAGAGATAATATCTTCATAGTCACTAATGCATATTTCTTCCTTTTTCCAACCGATAGTAATTGACGAGGCAAAACAGAACAGACCATAAGAGGTACCTTAAAACCCTAGAAACTAGCTTCATACATCTTATAGAAACTTACACTTGTCTTAGGTTCATACAGCCTCAAAGTTCACGCATTTCCACCCGTCTGAATCAAATACAGAAGCCACTTACTGTTCATCAGCCAGCAGGTTTACAAACTTTAACATCAAAACTCATTCATTACTTTCTACCACAAAGCCAGACCTATACACAATTTGATCACATAAACTTTTCTATTTATTGCACTAGCAATATAACATACAAATCTCGATGATTTAGACTGAAATATAATTTGCACCTACGGCTTTATCACATGTTGTCTTCTGCAATCTACCTTTGATTATTTCTCCTTTAGCTAATACCTCATTTTGATAGTCAATTTTTATTTCTTCATGCAGAGAAGATAATAATAATAATATAAATACTCAACGGGCAGCAAAGAATACTCAGATAGTACATACATAGTAAAAGAAGTCACAGCCAATCACCATCATACAATAACCTACAATGAATCTCTTCCAAAGCACAACTGAGTGATGAAAATATCCAGAAAGTACAAAGATAACAAACCATTCTTAAAACGAGTAGAAGTCCCGTCACAAGTATTGCATTAATGTGGAACAAATTATGACAAATAATATTATAAGCGGAAAAAGAAAAACGACAATCCATACCCTTGCGCTCGTCTCTCAACCTTTCCGCCAAAGTAGCCGAACCACCGCAAAGCCTTGCCTCTGCAGCTAGGGACCCAACAACTCCCTCTAAAATTCTCAACTCACCAAATTCTGAATGCAAAACCAAATACGAGAAATGCTCGTCCAAAACCACACCAAGACATTTCACCACAGTCTCGAGAGAAGGGACCCATTCGCAGACCGTCAGACCCAAAACCGATGACCCCTTAAGACAGGGCCCCACCTGAGGGAACCTTTCATATTTCTCGAGCCATTTCCCCAAGTACCGAATTAATGCCTTAATCTCCTCACCATCCAATTTCCCAACACAAGCTGAGAACATCACCTCATCCAGATTAGGACAGGCGAGAAAATAATGTAAACATAATTCGGACACTGAAAATCCATCGTGTGCCAGCATGACCGAAAGGGCTGCCTCCTTTGCCAAGCTTTTATCTTTCCCTTTTACTCCTTTTCCACTCGACTTATCAATAGCTAACAGTGCTTGGCTCTCCCAATCCTTTCTCAAGCTAACCAGGCTCTCATACCCATCGACCGGCAGCATCAGAAAGTACTTCAGAATGCACATCAAATCGTAAGCTTGCAAATCGGGCAAATGCTTCACGCACGAGACAACTAAGTCGGACTTCCGTTTCTCGATCAACTTATTAACCAAATTTGATGTGAACGCACGATCGACAAGCCCGTTAATTATCAGAGCCTCCAGCAAGTCCCGAACACACAACGCAACACAACACAACCCTCAGCAATCAAGCACTTAACTTCCCTAGCCATCAAAAACCCCGATTTCTCGACAGCATTACACGCATAACGTGGTTCGGATATCGAAATGAAACGAGATTCCAACCTTTTTCGCCGAATTTTCCAAATATGAAGTCAGCATGTCCATGAACTCAGCCTCACGGAACGAGTTTGTGTCCTTCAGCTTCCTCCTCAGCTTCTTGAAAAACTTCTGCCCTAGCTCGATGAGCTCATGGTCTACCTGCGAATTTCCCACCCGGTAGCCCTTTTTACGTGGCTGTCGGATTTCTGGTCGCCAGTTTCCAGCTTCAGCTTGGAGAAAATTGGGTCAGGGTTGAGAACAATCGGGTAATCGGTCCCATGGTCGGGCAGGGCCGGAATAGCTGCTGAAGCTTTCGTTATTACTTCTAGCAAAGACATTTGATAGGGAGATGAGGAAGGAACTCCAAAAAGGTGTAAAGGCAGTAAAGCTAAACGCCGAGCTTACTCGCAGGTCTGTTGGTAGAGGTGGCGGAGTATGCGGTGGTGGCGCTGATCGCGGCTGCTGGCGCCGGCGGCCGCCGAGGGTTTTAGGCGAGGTTTAAGTTTTTTTGGCAGAGCGAATTGTATGCGTTGAGAGTAATCATCTTACAGTTGGGCGTTTTTAAGTTGGGCCTCGATGAATTTTTGACCTCCAGTCCAGTCTATTAGGAGTCGGCCCTTGATCTGTTAGCCCGATACATATAATTGACCCAATTTTTTCCATATATTTTTGCCCATTTCAATAATCAAATTTAGTAGATTTTAGGACAATTTATTTATTTTAATGCAGTTTCCTCCATTTTTCCTTGTTCCATCTCATAATCTAATTTAATTAAATATTCCAAGAGTTTTTATTTTTATTATGTAGTTTTTTTTCCAAATTTCTTGTCCCATTTGAAAATTGTAATTCAATTTAATATTTCTAGGAGTTTTTAATATAACATACATGGAATTTTTTGTAGTTACAATAAAATTGCAAGCGTAAATACGTAAGAAACTGAGGTCGAAATCTATATAAATAACACTATAATTTAGTTGAAACAATTTTTGTGTTGTAGCTAAACTTGTGATACAATTTATATATATTTTACATATTATCACAATGTTTTTATGTTGTTAATTATCAAAACTCACAAGAGTTAATTCAAGTGGTAAGCAACTTGATGTCGTTTAAGTAAAGTTTTGGGTTCGAGTCCTTGTGGATGCAGAAAATCCTTGTTGGGAGACTCACCCACCACTGCCAGGTGTGCGACTCGAGTCTGCCAACGAATTAGTCGGGGCATAACTTCAGAACCATGGCCGGCTACCAAAAAAAAAAAAAAATCAGAAGTACACACATGCGTTCAACTTCATATTTGTTTCAAGAATAGTAGATCATATTGATATTATTATAACATTAATAATTAATAATTATCACATTGTTAAATAGGATAAAAGTTTTGACTTTGCACCGTAAGTCCAAATTGCTCTATAATCCAATGAATCTGAACTTTAATATATACTTTTCGAGCCCGTGTTATTTGGAAGACGCAATTGTAATTAATTAAGGCTTATTTATTTGAACTAGAAACTTTGATTTTTTCTGTTTTCTTTGATTATAGTATAACACCCGTGTATTACACGGGTGCTTGTTAAAAAATTATTCTTAAATTTTAAAATTAATGAGAAACTATATTAAATTTAGTTTACTTTTTTACAAAAAAAAAAAAAAATATATTACTATATATTTTAGAATGATATGTGTTACTTATGACTTACATGTGTTATATTATATTAGTTGTTATAACTTATAACATATAACTACTTGAAATATAAATATATTAGTTGATAAATAATTTTATTTTTCTAATTAATATTCAAAATATATTTATTATTATTATAAAGATAAATATAAAATATTTTTTTATACATATAATATGGATGTTAAATTGAAGCTCATCAAAAGAAGATTAATTTGATATATTATATATGTAAAACTGATAAAAAATACAAAAGTTATTAACTTTTAAAATGTATATACAATTCAATAGTTATAATAAGGAATGATATTAAAATACAATTAATACATGTAACATGACCATAAATAATCAACATATTTATGGTAATTCGAACCTAATTATTTTTAATTTGGAATTAAATTAAAATTTACCCAAGTCTAATTACGAAGCATGTAATTTTGCCACATAGGATTCCGAAGCACCAGAAGCAGCCACGTAGGGTCAGCGCGTTCTGTATTAATATATAGGGAGGATTATTATTATTATTGTTATTATTGTTATTATTATTATTATTATTATTTCTTCATAGACATATGTTGTTGATAGCATCAAGCATAATTTTTCATAAAACTATAGAAAAAGAAAGACAACATAAAACAAATTATCTTGAAATAAATTTGGTTATAGATGAAGTTCCTACTATAGAAAAGTTTTTTACGACACTATGTTTGAATATCACTTGTGAGTTGTCCCACATTAATTCTATAGGGAAAGGAGTCTAGTATATAAGCAGTAAGCTACTTCCCAATCACCAATTGATTTTGTGATGTAACCTCACTAAGGTGCATCTAAGCTCACCCTTGTGATGGAACTTCACTAAGGTGCATCTAGACTCACCCTCTTATATATGGTGCGCTTCATCTGGTGGGACCACACTTTTCCCCCCAGTTCAAATACACTATATTTAAATATATAATTACATCAAGAGCAAAATAGTTATTAATCGTATGCGTAATATAAATTGTGGTTGGTGGACGTTTATTTCGTGACATTTATAACTAATTTTCACATCACATCATTTCCGAGTCCATATTTTATATTGCAGTATGACTGATATTAAATATATCTAACGATTAGACAACTATATTTTTATATTGCAGTATGACTGATATTAAACATATCTAACGGTTAGACAACTATATTTTTTCACCAGACTAGTATGTACCATGTGCAATGCACGAGACATAGATAATAAATAAATTATTTTTACATGTCATGTCCGTTTAAGTCTAAAAAGCAATAGATTATCAACTCTACTCACGAACTTTAAGTCTAAAAAACACTAGGTTAATTAAGCAAACTTTAAACCAAAGATCATATAAAATCCGAGTTTACGAACAACTCGTTTCGTGTAACAACTATCCTCAAGAAAAATGAGAATTAATGGAGTTGAAATTTAGAGCTATGGCATAATTGGCATTACGTGAGCACATGTAGACAATTAATTAGTGTCTCGTTGTGCTAATGAGGTCTTAACTAGTATTCATCTTGTGCACATGCACAAAGAAAAATAAAAATTTATATATTATATTTATGTATATAATATATAAAAATTTTATATTAGATAATTGATGTATTACATTTTAAATTCTAACTACATACAAATGTGTAAGTTAAATATAATTTATTTAACTTACGTATGAATCTTTATATTGATGTCATACATTTAATGGCTAATATAATTTAGTAACTTAGATGAACCATACAATTACTTAGTTAGAAAAATATTACAATTATTTTTATCATTGTTATAACATTTGTTTATGTGATTTTAAGATGTTTAATTATGACACTCATGTCAATTAACTAATATTAGATAAAAATCGCTTAAAAAGAACAAAAATATTTCATTTTAGAAAAAGTATTTTAAAGAAAAAAAAATTGCTATACAATTTTTTATAAGTATGTAACTTCTACATACTATTTAATGTAAAGTTGTAATCAATTAGTGTTAGTAGTGAATAAATTATATTCAAATTATCATTACACTTTATTAATGTATAATGTAACGGTTTTACATTAATTGAAAAAATGAGCGGGAAAATAAATTGAGGTTTTATTAAATGTTTTATTAAATACTATATGCCAGCAATTATATATATATATAGATATGATTAATTAACACAAACACGACAACCCGTTGTACATTGACCCTTAAAATATTTTATAAAAATCTTACTTAACAAGTGGCTAATAAGCTATTTAAGGTAAACCAATGAGATAGTAATTTTTTTTTTTTCTTAATACAATTAAGTCAGACAGATTAAATAAAATATACTTTGTCACAATGACCTTCCAAAAAATCTATCATTTCATTTGTCAACGATATTCTTGAAAATGATTAAGAGTCATAGCTTAGCAAACATTTCAATTAATGTTCATATGCAATTTGTGTGTTTGATTAATTTCAAATGCGTATTCAATTGCTAACAATCCGTATTTTGTGTTTGACAAAATTAATTGTGTTAACAAATAATATATATACATATATGATATATTAGTAAATGTATATACACAAGTATTATATATATATATATATAGTATTTATATGTTATACGGAACCATGATGATATTATTTATTTATATTAACATGTATGCATGATATATTTTAAAACAAAAATAAATGATCAATTCTGATCAATGAATGACCCTAACACATAGTATATAGAGAGTTTTTGTTGTGAATAAGAAGTTTGACCCGCCATAACCTATAATTTTACTTATTTAATAATTAGCAGCTTAAAAAATAAATTATATAGTAAAAATAACTTTGAAAAATCTCAATATAGGAGGTTTGTGAATATATAATTATAAATTCAGTTATTTACCAGTCAAATTTATTTATCAAATATTTTGCATGTTCAGTTAATACAATCAGCTAGTTAAGGTATTAATACATCAATTATTCGTTGTCATTTAATTAAATTAGTTTTAGCTATTCGCTAATGGAATACACAATTTCCATAAGAATTTTTATTTTCACTTATATTTCAACTGTTAGAATTGCCAAGATTCAATAAAAATTTTGATTTAAAATGAGTAATTGCGTCGGAATTCACTGAAAAATTCTAATGAAAAACCAATATTTAAATTGATGGGTCTCCTCTCAGATCTGGAGTGAACCGATAGAAAACCGCCCAGATTTGGAATGAGCTCCGATCTGACTCGATAGCCTCCAAACCGTTGTTGAACCTTCGAGAAAACCTGCAAGAACTCAACGCCGGAGGGGTTTTCGGCGTAAAGCCTCGGATGCTCAAGTCAGTATGTGAAAGAGATGAGATGAAGGAAGCTGCCTTGAGAGCAGCAACAGTAATGGAGGAAAGTATAGAATGAATGGGAGTTAGGGTTTTGGAGTTACCTCAGCTCCTTTATATAGAAGTAAAACATTTACCTGGAGTCCCCAAAATGCATTGGCCGACTTACTGGAAATGTCCAGAATGCCCCGGTCGGTTTCCGCCAATATCCTAGTCAGCATTTAGATTCCTTCTTATCCTTTAATAGCTTCCCTCTGATATGTTGAAGTGTATAGGAGTCGTCAGGGATCCATGAGCCCCGAGACTACTTCAGTCGACTCGAGATATC